CTTTGTGAGGGCCCAAAAGACCACATAACATGAGGTCTGACATCTGCATAGAAGCTCTCCAAAAGGATGTATATTGAAGATAGGGGCCTCCACAAATTAGAGTAGGGTTTTGAGGCATCATTCTTATACAGTTATAAAAAGGCAACCTGAAGAGTAGTATTGGCAACAGTTTGGGTTCTTGTTGACGGTTTAATTTTCAATTGCCATACTAAGGACACCATACTCGTAATTACCTACAGATCCCAATTATGGTAAATTAAAACAAACTCTTGAGCAACAGCCCAGAAGTTAAAAGCCCAAAACCCTAAACCGTAAACGCTAAACCCTATACTATGTGGCTTGCTGGGGCTGGCGGCTAGCACCTCCAAACGCACAGCTGTAAACCTGAAACTGTTGGTTACAGCTCGGGAGCTTTCAAGGCACGGTCATAAGCCATGTATACATACACATAATGCTGTACTGAGCTATGCTATTGCCTTGCCACGCTATGATACGTTATGATATGTTGCGCTGAAAGCTACTACCTGAACTGCTTGATATGTTTGTTTGAATATACAGATGTAAATATGAAAAGAGGTAAATATACATGCACAGCGAATAACCATCTTCAAAATAGGAACCATGATGAAAGTAAGAAGAACAGGAACAACGCCACCACTACATACAACAGCAACAACCAGCGACAAGCGACAAAGAAAGAACAACGACAACCACAACAACAACAACACCAAAACCAACAAAACAAACAACAACAGCAACAATAACAACAGGAACAAGACCAGCAAAAAGAACAACCACAACCACCGCAACAACCACAACCACAACTACAACAAAAAGACAACAACAATAACACTAATAACAACAGCACAGCAAAAAACAACAACAACGACAACCGACCAACCACAACCTCATGGCAGCCCAAGCCACCCTCCCCAGAAAAGAACCCCCAGATTAAAACCTGACACTCCAAGGGCTCGCACAGCGTCTTGAGACAGTGCATGCGGGTTCAGATTCCGGATGTTTCTTCACGTCGCCAGGGATGGCTCGAACATGCACTTGCATGCTGTGGCACAAACATCCACTTCGGGAGTTGGCGCAGCACAACATCTGCAAGAGTTAGCGGAGACGACTGAGCTCAGTGAGAAGTCGTGTTCTGAAAGATACCTACCCTGGTTTAGGATTCGGGCCGGGGCTTACGGATACCTACCCTGGTTTAGGATTCGGGCGGGGGTCTCTCACAGGCTCAGTAAAACCGGCCGCCAATGTTGTTGATGGCATCACGCAGCTGATCATCGGTAGGCCTGGCATGTTTCTCTGGGCTCGGGCAGGAATTTGTGTGTGTTATTCGGCTTGGTTTTGTTTTGAGCGGGGTGTTATTAGTTACAGTCGGGTTTAGGGCTCATGGGTTCCAAAGGTGCCAGCAAGCAGCTTAGCCCATGATTCATCGTAACCAGGAGATCGAGTGAAGTGCATGTGGTACGTGTTGAAGACGAATTCGAAGACCACCGCACACGCTCGAACCTGATCAGCCACTGTGTTCCTGCTCCAGGAGCTTTGCTTGGTTCGCTGCACGCCGGCTGGTGTTCCTCGGACAACAAGCTGAAGGGTCCAGGGTGTCGGGGACCTACTTTTAAGCTGTGCAATGCAAAGAAAGTAGCAGACTGAGCTTACTCGTCACAGGCAAGCTTCCTAGGAATTCGACTTGGATCTGGGAGTCTTTGCTTTTCCATTTCAAATACACTTTGTCATCAGACAAAGGAGGAAGAAGGCTTTTCAGACTGTCAGGCGTAAGCTTCCGGTGCGTTCTGGGCCGACTCACTTCAGAGCCTACATGCGGCCTCGCTGGCAGCACCTGAGGAGCATCACCCTCGGCGACGACATGAGGAGCAGGGGGCGCGTCAGCATCGCGCTTGTCTGCGTGAGCATCACCCGGAGGAGCATTGGCGTCCGGAGCGACGACCGCGGCATCAGCACGATTCTCTGCAGCAGCATCATCAGGCTTGACTGCAGAACCAGCGGGCTTGGCACCATCAGGTTTATCATCTTTGGGCTTGGCTGCGCTACGGGCTGCATTCTTGCGTTTACGCTCTTCTAGGATAGCCGTTGCCTGTTCGAGAATCTTCTGGAAGCTATCCTTGTTGTCTGCGTCCATTGTTGCAAGAAGATTCAATACTTCTTCCGGACAGGAGCCGTCGTCCATGTCGGTTGGCAGCTCTTCAGGGCCAGCCTCCTTGGCAAGGTTCCTTGCCAAGCGATTCTGTTGCTCATCTGACACAGTGTGGCCCAAGACTTCACTCAATAGTTTCCGCACAAGGTCGATCTTGATGATACGTCCAGTCGCTCCGGAGCCTTTGTCAGGAAATGGGATTTGTTCTGCTGCGAGGCACTTCACAACCTGCTCCCTTGTCAAGAAGACCCCATTCAGTAACGCAGACTTGAGAGGGGATTCCGACAGGAGGCCGTCCCGCTTCAGCATGATGGCATTCTTGGGGGCACATGCGGGAGGGACCGTTATGGTCGGGATGTGACGCCACGTAGAGTCGGAGCCAGCATTGCCGTTGAAGATGAGCGTCGGGTAGATGGCGGCACTGAGGTCCGGTTCCAAATAGACCTGGGGACATGTAGTGTTGTATTTAGACGTGACAGGGTACACCGAGTTGGTAAAGCAGGACGTCTCCTAAACACTGGCAGCATCCCGCCTCTCCCATGCAATGCACAGGTGTCAGGTGAATCCCCAAGCAGGCATACTTCAGGAAACCGAAGCAAAGTACATAACGTCCCGTGTCACTTCGCTGGTACACGTGCCCTTTCAAGAGTAGACAGCCTTGACACTCAAGTGTTGGGTCTGGGCCTGGGGTGGTTTTGGGTTTAGGGTAGGCCATGATATTTAGCTACGTTCCAGATAGAGCGTTTCCCATTTTGGACTACTTGCCAAACTGCAGCGTGCAAACAACAAGCCTTATAGACACCAGACCCCCCGGACCCATACATGCTAACCTCTAAACCCCACGCGCAACGGCTAGATTCAACCAGATTCTTGAAAATGATCAGCCAGCCATGTAACCGCACCAACAGCGTCTCAATGCATCCAAATCCAGGTCACCAGCGGCGGTGGCATGTTGCATGACGAATGCAACGGCGGCGGCAGCCCTCCGCTGCGCATAAAAGCCCGCAGGACGCCACTTCTTGATCATAGCCTTGGTCACATCCTCGAATGGGAGCTGGTGCCACTGACCTTGGAAAGGCTGCAAGCCATTGTATGCCTTGATGTCTGCAGCACCTTGTGCACGGATGTCTTGCATAGGTATTCGCAGGGTGTTTGTTCCGCCTTCCGTAGCATACGGGCACACCATGAGGTACATATACTTTGTTTCCTGAGCCATCTTGTTTGCAGAGGATTGTCTCTTGTTCGAGTCTGCCAACCAGTTGAAGGAATTCTCGCAGGTGTTCTTGGTCTCGGCGGCAGAAGCGAAAGCTGCGAACCTGGGCGGTGTATTAGCAACCCACGTAAACCCTGAGCTCCCCCTGCAAGCCTAAACCCTGAACCTCCAAAACCCTGAGGTGGTGATACTAGACTAGGAACAAAATACCCCCGCACAAATTCCAGGAACACCCCAACAAAAGGAGTAAAATGGTATACCACTGAACAACCTACATAGGAACCCAAGCTCCCGCAAGCGCTGGTCACACAAGTCGTAGTTGCAAATCTCCAGCTCTGCAATCATCTCCCTCGTGAGAACCCAATCCATGGTCCCTATGTCCTCAGCTAGCTCCTTCACGGCTGGCAGCATGCTTCCTCTTCCAGGCAGCAACTGCTTGCGGGCACGGTCAACACGGCGCAGGGCTGCAACAATGCGGCGAAGAGTGGCGACACTCCTGGTCAGGTTGTCTCCTGTCGCGAAGACTCTGACGAAACAGTTTGGCAGGCAAAGGGAGTGGTGCAGCTGCGACCAGGAACGAGCTGTGCTGAGCTCCGTCACTAGCTTCATCATGCAGTCGGCAATCTTCGTGTCTTGCAGCAGCCCAGGCTGGTCTACTGCCACAGGTTCTTCTCCACTGGGGCGCAGGTCAAGCGCCCTGTGGACGTCCTCCCGGCCCAACAGATCATAGAGGCGACATATGGTGTTGAACCATTCGCCGCAGCTTCGTGCTGCCTGCCATTCCAACATGGACATCTGTCCGGGTTTGTGGGATTCTAGCCCCTGCGCATACTCCAGCTGGAGCTCTCGCCCTGTGAACACCAAGATCCTGACCTTTAGGTGAAGCTCGTGATCATGCATGAAATCCTCGATCATGGCGTCAGTGTGTGCATACTGCGCCCTGAGCAAGTTCAGGTCCGCCTTAGAATTCACATCCTCGTGGCCAGGAGGGTCAGCATCCCCCTCGCCGTCTTCACCGTCATGCATGTCGGCATCGGCATTCTGGGCTTCGGCAGCATTGTCCTGCGTTGAGTGGGAGACGGCTTTCGGGTCAGGGTCGAGGTTAGGAGTTTAGGGTTTAGGGGTTTAGGGGTTTAGAAGTTTAGGGCATGGGGTGACCCCTGTTGTTTTTTGGTCGTTTATTGGTCCTAAGTTATGCTAGTTTCTTAGAGGGTTAATTTGGTATTGGCGGCGCCAGCTTACTTCTGCAAAGTGCGTGCTTTCCCTGTACAGGGTCGGAATCGGAATGAAAACATACTGCACCACCCTCCTGATGAGCCAGCTCATGCGTGCCGTTGGCCATAGCAATGACTTCCTCTAGGATCGTCCAATCCTTGTCGAGCTTCATCATGCATTCAATGACACCGAACCAGGCTTTGTTCTTGGCCTTACATGAGAGCGCAGCTTTGACGGGGTCGTTATATCTATGGAATTGAGAATCTAGGACATACATGGGACAGTTCATGGGACAGCCGTGGTCTAGACATTCAGGCACATCAATAGAGCTTTTCACACTCATGAGTTGCACACAGCCGCAACACAATCACAAGCACACAACTGTTGTGAACATCTGCTATCGCA